ATTTGAGAATTTACAAATCATCGTCCATATTTGATTTGCATTGAATTTTTTATCGTATCTGCTTAGCTGCCAACACCTCTTGAGCTCTCTCTGTGTGAGTGTGTATGTGAGTGTTGCGCCTGCGGATCGAGCTCGTTTGTATTTCATAGAATTGCACAAGAGACTCACAAATTGCTTTCATTGATTGCCGCCGACAAAGCCAGGGCAAAAAAGACGCTCTCAAACGGCGCAGCCAAAGCACCGGGAATAGCTAAAGGCTAGGCAAAGGCTGCAAAGTTGCAAGGTGAGAGTTAGCTGGAGAGGGGGCAGAGGGTGGCGAGAGTGCAGCGCGAATTCGCATTGGGAAATGGCCTTAAATTGTCTTGTACCACAAGGGAGGGAGGGACAGGGCCACCCATCTGCCGATTGCCCCAGAGCAGATTCAACGAGTGAGTAACGCAGTCTGAGAATGGTTTATAACGAAGGCCATAGCTGTGGCTATGGATATGGCTGTGCCTAGTTGACCCGCTTTCAGTGGAGCCGCACTTATGCCGCGGACATCGACGTGAAACTATTGCGCTGCAATGCATCATCCAGAGTAAACAGCGGCAGGCAGCAGCCGACTCCAGGCGAAGCTCTGCTGGTTACATGCTGAACAGCAGCAGCAGCAGCAGCAGCAGTAGCAGCAACAGCAGCTTCCTGCTGAACTGAAGGGAATATGAGAGCAGAAAAATGTGTTTAGGGGGGAACCGAACAAAGTATTTAAGCCCTAAACAATTGAAAATAAATAAAACGAAACGAAAACTGAGGAGCGAAACACGAAAAAGCGAAATGAGAAACGCGAAAAGCGTGAGCCAGACAGTTGGGACACAATTGACGGACACGCTACTAGAGTAATTGTTATCCTTGTTGGCTGTGCGCAGGCACGTCGCGCACTCGAAACGTGGAGCCTCGAATGGAGCGCGGACTAGAGAACACTACACAAAGCACAAACGCCACTTGAGCGTGGCACGCGCGCCATCTCTCGGCCAGCGGCAGAAGCAATGGCAGAGGCAGGAGGCAGGGGCAGGGGCAGAGGCTGGGCGCAGAAGGCAGCAGCAACAAACAGTTGCAACAGCAACAACAAAAAGCTGTAAGCAGCACTCAGCGGCACGCTCTCAAGGGCTTTGGCAACGCGGCTAGAAGAGGGCGTGGCAAAGGCAACTAAAACTGCAATCTTAAACTGGAAATTGGCGTTAAAGCCAGCAGATAGACTATATATATAACAAGTAAGAAAGCTCTAGTCGAGACTGCTCGACTAGGAGATACCCTGAACCCTCTAAGCTGATATTCTAATCAGTCTGCACTTCTTTTCGAAACATACACACGCACGTATTAGAACGCGCTCTGCTAACTGCGCAGTAAGCAGCGACTGCGCTTGTGCTGCGCTGTAGTGTGGGCAACATTATAAGAATTTATTTGTTGAATAATTTAATTTCTAGACGTACAATCTTAATGAAACTTTTAGAGCGTAATCATATGGTAAAAATGTATGTACATTCCAAAGCACACGTCTCTAGTACTTGAAATACGCCTTTTACAAAGGTGAGGATGAGGGGGTGGATATAAGGGTGGGGGGTAAAATACAACAAAAATCGAAATTATATAAAATTCATATAAGTCTACATTAAAAATTTGGAAGCTCTAGCTTTAAAGGTGTAGGAGATATAATTAAATAACTAGCTTTCGATAAGGTTTTTAATCGATAATAAAATATCGGGAGTAATTATCGATATATAAAGAAAAACTTGATATGCGCGTGATATACACGGACCTAGGAAAAAAATTTCAAGTCTCTAGCTCTTATATCTTCTGAGATCGACGCGTTCATACATACGGACGGACGGACGGACGGACAGACAGACGGACAGGGCCAAATCGACTAAGCTCGTCGCCCTGATCAAGAATATATATACTTTGTGGGGTCTGCCACGCCTCCTTCTGCCTGTTACATACTTTTAACAAAACCATTATACCCTGATTTCCCATTTTCAATGGGTTCAGGGTATAAAAATATATATATAGAGAGAGAGCTTTAACTGCAAAATATGTGAAAATATGTGCATACGTATTTAAATATTATTTTTATATATTATTGACAAAAGTAGAGTCAAGTTATCAACAAGAGATAAAGTAATAGAGCTCATCAAATGTAATGGTATTGACTTCATCTATAGAGTTTCCATCTATGATAACTCTATTTTTATCTGCGGGATCTTCTAGATAAGTACTCATGAAGTCCTTTAGCCCATCAAATGAAAATTTACTGACTTGATCTATAAAGCTCCCTTCTCTCTGCTGAACAATCCTTAGTTCTCTAATAAAATTCCTTTTGAGATCATTTAACTCATCAAATGAAACTGTATTTCATTTCATCTATATTGCTTCCATTTATGAGCATTCCCTTATTATCTGCTGAATAATTATTGGCGATAAAAGTTGATAAGATCATTGAATTCATCAAATGAAATGGAGTTGCATTCATCTATAAATTTTCAGTTTCAAATGAATTTTTATTTAATATATGGAGTTTCCATCTATGAGCATTCTTTTATTATCTGCTGAATAACCATTGGCCCTATAATGAAAGTCTCTATCAGATCATTTAACTCATCAAATTGTATTTTATTTCATCTAGCGAGTTTCCATCTATGAGCACTCTGCTTTGTTTGATCTGTTTATTTGTTTACTTATTGGGCTTTTGACTTTTGCCTTTGTTGTTTTTGTAACACTGAAAACGCTTCCCAAGTATCCATTCCGATGGGGACTTATTTACTTTTAATATTTCTGTTTGTCTCATGCAAATGGGCATGCTTGGCCATGCGATTATTTATTTGTATGCGGGTCCTTTCGATTTACTTTCGATTTCCTTGTGCCTCGCTGCCTTTCAATCAGGCTCGATAGGGCTAGAAGCAACATATGCGTGGGTTAGGGCTGCTAAGATGTGGCATAAATCAAATGTCGCCGGCATTGGCAACAACATGTCAACAGCACAGTTGGCTGGCATGCCAAATGAGTCTACAGCAGCGCCAAAATGCAGCCAATTCGGAAAACGCTGCAACAATGGGAAACAGTCCATGTCGATGTCGTTGGCCTGGTCGCCCGTCTACGGCCGATGGGCGATGCGAGAGGGGAGAGTGCGATGTGGACGTTGCATGCGCGCTAGGATGGAGGCCGCGTTCGTAATTGAAATACAAAGCCAATTTATTTACGAAATGCGATAAAACGCAAACAGCGAGAGTGGCTGGCAATAGCAGCAGCAGGGCAAGAGAGGCAGGAGGGTAGGGAAGGGGAGAGAGCTCGATAGGTAGCGGGACCAAAAACGGTTACAGCAACGGGAAGATGAAATAAAGCATCAAAGTGGCAATCACGCCAATCACGCGTAATAAATCATTGCGTGAGTGTATGCGTGCATACTTATATATAAGTGTGTGTGGGCGTGTGTGTGTGTGGGTGGGTGTGCAGCCATGTCAAAAATGACGACAACTCAGCTAACGGCGGTCACGTGTTGTCAGCACACGCGAAACAACGCCAACTTACACTAACACGCACACACGCACGCACACTCACGCACGCACACGCATGCGAATGTTTGCTTACGCTTGTTTATTGACGGCCATATATAAGCGGATGTGAATTGGCCAAGGAAACGAGATTGGTGCTGCTTGTTATTATGCAAATATTCATTAAAAGTCCAAAATGCTTTGATTAACTCATGACAGTTGCAAGAACTTAGCCAGTCCGTGCTCCAGCGGAGTGGCGTGCCCGCTCCTCCAGCATCTCGCTGTTTCCGTACCATCAAGAAGAGCTCCGGTTCACCTCACGTGGCAGCAGCTACAGCAGCCTCGGCACCTGCTTTTATCGCTCTCAAGCAGCCCGTGTAATTTCCAGCTGTAATTGGTGTAATTGAGTGCAAGAGCGAAGAAAATATTCAACATGCCAGCAATTAACATAAATTCCCGCCCAGAGACAAGTGGAGCGCCATTTTCAGGCGCCGACTGCCAAATGCACTTTTACATATTAGTCAAATCTAAATGATCTGAGATACTATTTGAAACATATATCTATATACATATAGTAAAATTAAATGGACAAAAAAAATTAAAAATAATGTTATTAAAATTATAATATTAAAAATAATATTGCATTCATATGCATTCAAAAATATAATTCTTATTTTTTATATGTTGATTCAATACTTCTTAGTTACATTAATACAAGTGATAAACTACAAATTTTATATATAAAATACAGAAATTTATTTAATAATTATGAGTAAAATTAAATAGTAAAATAAGAATATTATTTAAATAAAATATTTATAATGAATATGATATTGCCAATTTTAATACATGATTTTAACTACATGACGGACAATGAGGAGTAAAATATATACAGAAATTTATATATATGCAGAAGAAAAGTTCTTGGGCACAGATTTATATAGACACCCAAAAGTCAGTAAAGTCCCGCTCCATAGGTAATTCAAGTGCGAAAAGAAGCTAACTTTGTTTCAGTGTATGCTAAAAGAGAGCGCAGTCAACTGATAATGAAGCGCCCATGATGCTGGGCGTGGCAAGTGGAGAGATAAGCAAATGGCTGCCGCAGTGCGCTTGCCACGGCGAGTGTCGCTGATAATTGCCCGCGTGCGTGACAAATGCAGGACGCAGCGAGCGATATTAAAAATATAGCATACTTACATGCGCATGCGAGTCTGGGCGGTGGGATGGTAAGCAGGGGGTGGGTGAACGCGTGCTGCTTATTTATGATAGTATGAAGCAATGTCAACGCGTTGCCCTATTAACAATGCGCTCGAATTGTAGCGCAGATAAGACTGAAGAGTGGAGGGTGGGGAGGGGAGGGTAGGGCAGGTAAGTCCTGAAATGATTGTGCAATAAACAGCTCGGTCCATTCGAGCACATTTCTTATGGCCACGTGACACTTGCCAATGCTCATGCGGATTGTTTTCTTTTGTCTTGCAGGAGTCGAGTGCTTTCAGCGCTTCGCCGAGCAGCCCAAGTACACGGAGGTGAATCCGCGCGAGGATGCGCTGCTCACATGCAAAGTAATCGATATGCGTGGCTCCTGCTCCTGGCAGAAGGATAACAAGGTAATCATGCGGAGTACATATACAACAGCCGCTAGTTGTTCATTTCACATACGATATGAGGCTCCCCTGTTTGCCTGCAGTTTATAAATATCCCAAGTTTCCACACACACACACACACACACACACTCGCACGGCGATACAAATGAACATAACTAAAACTCATTTCATATGCGCAGCGCGTCCTGTGGATCAATTAAGTGTTGTTTCTCGACTGCCTGCCCTGCCCTGCGCTGGCACATGTGCTGGAACTGCCTGCCAAAAGTAATTTACGCCCTTTGGCTGGACGATCCAATAATGCGCGTGGCTATGACCTTTGCCCTCGCTGGCCATATGTGCGTCTGGGCAGGACTTCTTTGCGGCTCTGATTAGAACCACGGGGCTGGCCAAAGTTTTAATCGAAAATGCGTGACAGCTCGCACCTAAGCCTTGGGCACTCACACACGCACACCTACATATACACACACACACTCTCTCTCTCCCTCTCTCTAACACAGCTATAGATACCTACAAAAGTCAATTTGGTGCCGCGTTACATGGAAATGCTATTATGGTCAGCATCCCAGGGCTTTGGTGATATGCTTGCTCTCTTATCGACCATATATTTAAATTTTTCTCCTGCATTCCATACAGGGCAATGATTAACCTGCTTGGAAATGTTGTTAACGTTTCTATGCACAAACCAAGCAATTTGCCAGCAATGCACTTGAAAATACTCTCTCTCACTCACTCTCTTTTTCTCTCTCTCACTCACTCTCATTTGATATTTTGCTCTTTGTGTAGACAATTGCCCTCAGAATCGTTGAGAAAACTTATTTCAGCATATCCAACTTGCATTTGAGGGAAATGCAGAAGATGTATAGCTGGCCATAAAATAAATGGAAATATGCATAAATTAATACGGCAGTACAGGAGTCGAATAAGATATTGATTGCTGACAGAAACAGACAAAGAAAACAACTTAATATTCATCGAATAAAATTATAAATTAAAAATTTCTTTAGGATTGATTATCATATCTAGAGCAATAATGATATCCAGATAGATAGATCTCATCCCATATCCTCATTGAGCTCCTTATATTCGCCCATTAAGTTGACTTCCTTTCACTGGGTATCTGGCAGCACAATATATCCTCTTTGATCTGTGGTCTGGTCAGCCTTATTCCTGCTTGTTGTTCGGCTCCATTTTGGCATTTTGGTTATATGTGGCTATTGCCGTTTGGTATGCGGCCAAAACATATCCGTGTTAATTTGCATAGCAGTCGAAAGAGGTCAGCAGGATGCATTATATGTGGCCATGAAGAGAGGACTCATTATGGGACTGGCCCGGGTCCAAGGCAGATGAGCACTTGGGCTTGTCTTGAGCTCGGAGAGCTGAGCTGATGCTGCTGCTTGTTATTCATGGCATTTGCGTGCGTTTGTAGCACAACTTTTATTTGCTCCTTCTGCGTCCTTCGATGCTCCTGGAAGCCTCGGCTGCCTGCTGTTGTTGTCTGAACCACAGTTGCTTATGCAAAATGAAGTGCGGGCAGGGAAGGCAACGCTCCACTTGCATGACAAAAATCACAAAGCATTTCAAATGCACTTTTTCATATGCTGCACATTGCCAAGGATCGTATCGCATTGGGTCGAGTCGTGTCGCATTGCATCGCATCGCATCGCATCGCATCGCATTGGCTCGATTTGCAGCATATACTTAAATGTTTACATGCTTTGTGCCTGCAGGACACTAAGGAGCAAAACACATGGATGGGCATGACCAAACAGACCATTTGCATGCATCGAGTGTCTCAATACACACATACATATGTATACTATATACTATACGCTTTATTCTAAATACATATATAGTTTGTTTGCCTTCATTTCGAATTCAACTTATTTTTGCATATTTATAGCAATTGTTGGCATGTGTTTGCTTTTCAAACTAACTTGCCCATTTTTGCATAGCATTTGTGTAGCTGTCTCTACAGTATTCCTTTGCATCTCGATATCTTAAGTAGACAACTTTTATGTGTCTCCAACTGAGAAGCTGGCACTTCAATTGGGGCCAAGCACCAGTTCATAAATACCTTTTACGAAATGCTTATTAAGAGTCGCAATCGAGCAGAACTTTGAGAGCGAGAGTGCCCCAGGAGAACAGAGAAGAGCGGCGTATTGATTTCGAGTAGTTGCAAGAGCACTTAACTATCTCTGCCAAACAGAGCGAATCGAGACTGAGTATAATTGGGACACAACAGTTTTGTGACTCTGTCTATATGTATAAATAGATATTGGGTCAGTTGAGACAAGAATAATGCGATTACTAATAGAACACATCTAGTTGTAAATATAATATGACATTCGTTCTTTTATTTTGCTAGGAAAAAAAGACTAGAGAAATGTCTATTTATAAAATATTTGGCCATTTTTTATGTTATAGCTGTTTAAGGCTAATATCCCATTTTTAATGAGTTCTCAGAGAAAATTTAAAAATATTTTAAATTTACACTTTGGGCTTTTTATTTTAAATCTTATATCTCTTTTTAAGAGCCATTTCCCACATTTCAATGGGACCATGGAAATCATTTTTATAATTTTTATATACATATCAAAATCTTACTTTATCTACTTTTTTCTCTTTAATATATAGCTGTTATGAGACAATTTCCCATTTTCAATTCAGTTTATGCTGAAGAAGAAGAAATTCATGGTATTTTTGTTATATATTCTGATAGCTAGACATTATGTGCCTTGCAATTTAATTTTTGTTTTTTAATACTATATATCAAAGAAAAAGAGTAAGGCCTGTGCTCTTAATATAAATAAAACGGAAATCCATCTACTCTCTTTTCTTGCTTGAGTACGAGGTATAATCAGACTAAGAGCTGGCTGGCAAAGCAAACAGAACAATGCCAAATGGATGGGCAGGCAAAATAATGTCAATAGGAAACGATTTAGTTCACGTTGAGGGCGCTCACCACACACACATGCAAATGCACACACACAGACACACACACACACACAGTAGCAGGAGACAACAAAATATTTGGTGGTATTCAAAATTGTTATTTTGACAATTGGCAGCGCTGGACGCCAGCATTGAGTATCATCTCCTTTGTGCTCTGACCAACAGAGAGAGAGGGAGAGAGAGATAGAGAGAGGTAGAGTCGCTTAACCTAGGCTTCATAGCTGCAGCTGACGACCATACGATGGCTGGCCAAGATAGTACCCACAAAAATGTCAAAAGGAAAACGAAATAATAATTTAAATAAGTCTGGGAAAATGTAAATGTAAATGCCTTAGGCCGTAGCTAAGGTCGAATGCAAATGAATACATTTATATATGGGGCTGTACGAATATGCGAATAATGAACGTATGCGAATGGATAAATAAAATATTTACCATTCAGTATGTTGTCCAGTTCCAGAAGTATGTATTAATTAATTGAGACAGGGGCTTGCCCCTACCTGGGCTGATGTTTTCAGAAAGAAAGCATTTGCGGCGACATCTATTAATTAACCCCATTAAGAGACGAGACAATGTTTAAAGGACTAAACGAACTGACAATTGGACAATTGGACAATCGCACAGCGGGACAAGGACAACGACAGCGCATTTAGGAGCGAGGGGGCGTTGCACGGGACATAAATACCTAAATGCGAACGATGCCACGCTCAAAGATCACTAATTGTAATTTAATTTCCAATTAGCAAACAAACTAATGCCAATTTAGAAACGGCAACAAGCTTCCAGACGACGCCGACTGCTGCTGTAAGTGGAGTTAAACGACACGTAGTTGAAAATGGCAGCAGACTGCTAGCAGGCGGTGCCGAGTGGGCGCGAGGAGGGGCAGAGGGAATTGTGGCAGGTTACTGGGCTGGTTCACTGACATTCAATACCTAAACTCTGTTCTCTATCTCTCTATCTCGGCGACTATTTGTGTGTCGGTGTGTGTGCGTAGACCAAATTATGCGCCTGACTACATCGAAAAGTTAAACATGCTGAACATGTCGTTGTCCAGTGGCCCGCCCACACTATTGCATTGCCCCGCTGCTTACCATCCTGAACATCCTCAACATCATCATCAACATCATTATCATCATCATCATCCATTGTTTCAGCAGATGTAGTAATGCAATCTTCTCTCCCTTTCTCTCTGCTTTCTCTCTTTCCATCTTCTGGTTTTACCTTACAGCCTGTCGGCATCTATCTGAAGAAATACGAATGGGCACGTCCCTTGGGCGGAAATGGCGCCTTACATCTGGATCTGCATCCGCCCCCGCCCAGCGGCGGCGACTGCTCCCTGTGGATACGCTCGGCCACCTTGGACTTTGACGACGGCCTCTGGGAGTGCCAAGTGACCGCCAGTGATTTTACCGCACAAGATGCTTTGACTAGTCAACCGGTGCGATTGGTTGTACGTGGTGAGTGTTAATCCACCAGCTCAAATCAATGTCATGCAACGTAACGTATGATTAATATTTGGGCTGGAGCCCGAATCAACTGGTGTAGCTGGTGCAATGCATCTGCGACCTTTATAGCGCAAGGGTATATATTATAGTCAGGTAGCTCAAAGAGGTCTTGTAATAAGTGAGTGATATATTAGTTAAGCATTATATAAAAAAAGTAAGCTTTAGTCTGGGGTTCCCGTCAAGTAAATAATCAGATCTTCAACGTTTTTGCTTCACTTTTGAATCCTTGATTTATATCTATGCAACATCAGTTTTATAATTTTTTGCTTACTTAAAAGAAAATCTGAACTTGCAATTGCAATAGACTGCTAAGATGCACTCTATAGTAAAAGGACGTACGCTTGACTCAAATCACCGGGTCTCGCTGTCATTTGACCAAACGATTTCTTTAATAACTTCTGCTTTACTTAATGGATTTCAATGAAATTTTCAGCATACGATTTACATATTTTTCTGTATATTTATTAGTTTTGGAAAAATTGAAACTAGTTTACATGTCGCCTATATGTGCATCTGAATTATGATTTAGAAACATTTTTGACTTTAGGGCCTCTGTTGAAAATACAGTAAAATCGCAATTGAATTATTTAATCAAATTGCAAAGCTTTGAGAGCCTGGCTCTAAAGAAATAAATTCCAATTCAAGGTCTATAACATTTACAATCGATTCAGTGAGACTGGAAACTTTATAGAATATATTATTATGATTGCATTAAACTTGATATATGCAAGCTATAAACAGTTTACCTCTAGATCCTTAGCTCGCCGCATTTGTACATACTAACGGACGAACACTTATATTCAGACTGACATATGGACATTTCTAGATTATGCCTGTTCAGGCATGCATATGTATGTATGTGTAGGGGAAAAGAACTCTATTATATCGATGATGACATAAAGTATCTATAGTATATTTATCGTGTCATATGACTAAAGGCAACTGCCACTCAGGTAGTAAATTATAATGAGGTTAGCCGGTCTGGTGTACGAATAAAAATGGAATAAAAGAATATGCATCCGGCACTTTTGTATAGCTCTCAAGTGTGACGCAAGCCAGGTGATTTAATTAAATTAGTCTTAGGCACTGCTGCACGTATAGCTGACATTTATTGCTGACCGCCCGAGTCGTATTAGTAATCTGTGTTTGACATCCCTCCCCTCTCTCTCTCTCTCTCTCACTCCCTCTCTCTTTTTTACACACATTCAGTGGCGCCGCAACGCCCGCGTCTGGAGTACGAGAGCGCTCCATTGCCGCCGGGACACAACATTACGGTGGACGCTGGCGCCGTGGCGACTGTGAAATGCGCCTCACATTATGGTAATCCGCCTGCAACGCTCAAATGGTATTTGGGTAAGTGTCGCTGCTGCCTGTTATCCTTTGATTGCACTTGTTATCCGGGCTAGCTCGCTAGCTGGCTGGATGCCTGTGACATTGTCATGTTAATTAATTTCAACGATTTGCTCTTCCCGCCCTCCTCCCCCCTTGCTCACTCTAACTATCTTTCTGTCACTATCTCGCTCTGGACAGGCGACCAGGAAATCTCGCCCATGCACCCGCAGCTGAATGCCACCGAGCCCGATAATCCACGCACCTGGTCAGCCACCTCGGTGGTGCAGGTGTCCGCGATGCGCGAGCGCCACGGCGACATTCTGCGCTGCGTGGCCTTCCACGAGAACTACGAGGCCAAGTCGGTGCCAGTGGAGGCCCGCCTAGATGTCAAGTGTAAGTCGCAAAAACAAACGAGACAAGCAAAAAAAAAAAAAATAATAATAATAATAATAATAATCATTAAAAACTAAATAAGTAACTCAAGCTTGGCTAGACAAAGTATGTGCTGTCCTTTGAGCGAGCTGATTGCATTTAGCTGCACTTGGCTTAAAGTCAGCAAAAGTTAAAAGACATTGCAAACAGCTGTAACAATTCAATTAGCCACAATTTGCAGCAATTTCCTGTTTTGTTAAGCAATTCAAGATTTTGGCCCCAAGACGGGCGAGCACAAGGACAACTGTCGAAGTTGGCCGCTTGTTGTTGACTTGTTTTGCTTACTCAACATTCTATCTCTCTCTCCCTCTCTCTCCCTCGTTTTGTCTCTGTCTAACCCGCTCTTCTTGTGCTTGTGCACTTTGCAGATGCGCCAACCATTCGTCTAATTGGCTCACCGGAAATCGACTTGGAAGAGGATAAGGATGCGCTTGTGCTGCGTTGCGTGGCCGATGCCAATCCGCCGGCCAGCATCGTCTGGCGACGTGCCGGACGCTCCGAGATAGCCAGCTTGCAGGTAAGCCAGACCACCCTCCCTCCCTATCTCTACCTCTCCTTCCCTTCGCTCCTTCTCCCCATCGAACGGCATCCTGGCAGGCAGACTCCTTGCCAGCTTGTTGTTTATGTTGCTACGGAATTTCGACGTCTCTCGCCGTATTTATCTTAAGTGTAGCAGAAATTTGTAATTGTATTAAATTGCTAACTCTCTCCTTCGGGCCGCTTCGGTCGCTTCGTTTAGGAAACGCTGCAATTGCGTCCTGTCGGACGGCGAGACGCCGGACTGTACACCTGCCAGGCGCAGAACTCGGTGGGCACCTCGGAGCAGCTGTCGGTGCAGCTGGACGTGAAATGTGAGTCCCTTTCAATATTTATCTTGGCCGCGTTTGCTGCTCTGCTAACTTTTGCTTAATTTTGTATTGACGCTCGCTTCCTCTGTTTACTCTGCCACAGATCCTCCGAAAATTATTTCAGCCGGCCCGGACCGCCTCACCACAGCGCCGCTCTTCAGTCCCGCCGCCTTCGAGTGCGTCGCCGATGGCAATCCCATGCCAGCCTACAAATGGGTCCAGAGGTGAGTCCCCTTTACCCTAACCCGATCCAGGCCACTCGAATTTCCCTGCTGCATACTTTTGGGTGTCGCGCCTCTCACGCAGCACTCTGCCGCACTCTGCGCCAAGAATGCCCGCCTCCTGCTACTCCCAGTGCGTGAATTCATGCTTTCTGTGCGTTATATCTGCGCACTATACAAATAAAACTTTAATATGCCGTTGCTTCATTAATCTGCAGCAGCTTGTTGACACGGCTCACACGGCGTATGCGTAATGTTGCTCTCAAAGGCAGCTGCAAATTGCAATGTGCTGCACTCCGATATATTGGTTTTAACTTATTTATTTTAAGAGAAGAAACTTCATACGCATTGCTTACTCATCGAGCAATACTCCAATGAGTTCCTCCTTCGCTTCCCTGCATGAAAACAGTTTCCACGTATGATGGCATATCATCCTATCATCTTAAGGCTTATATAATGCTAGTAATAAAGAGTGAAAACTTTTCTAACCACAGGATATGAGTATTAACTTCAATATGATCTGGACTAATAAATTCATAAATGTTATGTATTGGAATATGTGTATATACAGCAACGGTAATAAAAATAGAATTGCGACTGGATTACAAATGTAAAGATTAAGATACTCAATATCGACATCTTACTTATTAAAAATATATATGTAGTATCTAAGGAAATTATGATATCTCTGGAAAATGAGCTAGACAAATAACAATAATCTGAATATTCCCAATATTTCCGTCAAATTTTAGATTTTTGTATTTTTTTGGCCAACTATTCCTACTACTATTTTATTTACCTAATGTTTATATATACCATGTAATATTTTCTTAATTTGTTAGCTTTTATTATTGTTGCGACTCATGCAATTCTATTAATGGTGATTTATTGCATAATCTTAGCTTAAACTTTTCATGCGGGCACTCAGGAACAATTCATCAACCAAATTTTTATAGCATAGAAATTCATTAAACATAAAGTATTAGTTGAGTCATAGAGAAAACAAAATGCCTTGGCCAAGTCAAATTTAAAATTAAATTATTTATGATTACAAGTTTAAATCAAGTGTTTAAAAACTCAGATGATACAGTTAATAGTAAAGTAGTCACAAATAGTAGAAAACAGCCAACAGCTTAGATGAGTGTATACAGAGTTGGCTTCATTACAATATGATAATAAACTAGAATTGAAACGAGAAAATAAAATTTCCTGTATGCGGGTGCGCTTCCTGTGGAAGCAGTGGCAGTGGCAGTTACAGTGGCAGCAGGAGTCGCCGCTGCTGCAGCTGCCATTAATGCGCACAGCTCTGAGGTCACGCCCAACATTTTTTCACTTGAAGTTTGCGTCATTTAATTAGCTGCACAGCGGAAATTGTGCGCAAAATGAGCGAGTGGGCGAGTAATGAGGGGCAAAGCCAGCAAGTGGAGAGTGGAGAGTGGGGCGCGAGTCAAAGAGAGTCCTCCTCAACATTATCTGACCCTCTTTTAACGGACTAGAATTAAAGAAATATGTTTATTTATTTTTATTGAAATACATCTCACAATTTGAGAATTAGTTAAAAAATGGCAATTCAGCTGGGAAATTAAATAGATTTATTTAGATTTTATTTACTTTTGATGCGACTCCAATTACGACAGCCACAACTTGCCTTACATGGTTGCCTAATGCATCCTTTAGTGGTCCTGTAAAAGAAGGAAGCTAACTCCTACCCAAGGCGCTGCAGCTAAACAGCATCCTTCATCTTCGTTTTAGAACATTTTTTAATTAGCAATTTTGTGCTGCTTTCTATGGCATTTTCCCCTTTCCCCTCACCCCCTCTTCGCTCCATCTGCTATAGGGGGCAGCCGCAATTTACTGTGGCCGACTTCTGTGCAGCTTCCTGCTGCTGCGCTTGGGTACATTAATATGCAAAGCAGTGGCACACTCATCCGTCCGTTTGTCCACTCAACAGGCAGCAGCTCGTCATGTTGGAAAAATCGAAATAGTCCACATCACGTGCAGCGCCCCACTCCACTCCACTCTCCCTTCTCTCTCTCCCTCTCTCTTTGTCTATCTCCCTCTCTGTCCCACTCTCCTGTCGTGTTGCTGCATGCCACAAAGTCAAACTCGGAGCTCTCAGATCAGACGCCGACAAGCAGCCCGTACGTGATTTGAGATTTCATTTGTTTGTATTTGCCCCTGCAGCTACTCATGCGACATATGAATGCCTCAGCAGGAGCCGTTGGGTTCGACTGTGTGTGGGAGGGCGCTCTGCTTGAGCAGATTCGCCAGCGCGTCAAATTCTAATATCCAATGCCACATGCAACGCGCTGCCGTGTTGACTTAATGAAGCGTGCCCGCGCGTGTTTATCAGAAATTAAATGTCAATTGTTGAAAACTAATTTCCACGCGCGCCCCGCCTCCTCCTCTCCTATCGTACCAAAGACACATTAAATGGCGCGTGCCAAGCAAAACCAGCAAGGAGCAATGTCTGTGTGTGTGTGAGTGTGTGCAATAAATCAATGACGTGCGCTGTTGACAGGCTACCTATGCCTCTGAGGTGGCTGGCATGCCGAAGGCGCCTCGACCGCTGGCCAACAGCCAACAGCCAGGAGCCAGGAGCCAGAAGCCAGGAGCCAACAGGGAACCACCGGCATGCAAATGCAACCACACAACTGCCCGCCACTCGGCCACTGGGCCAATGTATTTGCTAAAGGAAAAGCCCCGGGGGAGGCATAGGAAAGGCATGTCACTTTGATTTACGTGGAAAATTTCGACGGCGAGCCCCGCTGAATGGGCGAAGCAGCGAGCGCTTTGTGCCTCGCATTTTTCCATCGAATTTTTGCGACTTCATTTGTGTGCTGCTGGATTTGCATTTAAATGGCTTTCAAATTTATTGCTTCTAATTGCGACGAGTGTGCTGCTCCACGGCACCGCTGCACCACAGTCCCGCCTCGAAAGCCGCTTTAATTGGCGCTTTAAGCTGGCGACACACGCTCCCCATGCAGAGAGCATCGAGCCAAGCTCAACTATGCGGACATATCAAAGGAATTTGTCTGTGACCCCGGACCGACAGGACCCAAAGCTGTGGCCAAAATCAGTATGGATGGCTCTGGAGCTGTGGTGCTGTGTAGCTGTGTTGCTGTATTGCTGTATTGCTGTGGAGCTGTGTCGATGCTGAGCTGAAAGCATTTCGCAGCATAAAAGGCATTTCTCATATTAAAAAATGTATCAAATATTTTTTGCTTGCAACGAAGAGCAACAAAAATATTTCGCCCACAAACGCAATTTTCAATATTGCTGCACAAAACTTGCAGCAGCAGTTGCCCCCTCTGACTTTCCACCTCTCACCTACCCGCACCGCCCCAGAACCCACCCCCACCTACCCCCTTTCAGCAGCAATGTGGCTGTTGCATTTTTCCCAAAATGATTTGCAGCTCAAAAAGCTGACAGTAAGAGAAACGAAAATATAAAAATATGTACGTAAGAGAGCAAGGCGAGGCAACGTCTTTGCGTCACCTCCCTCCTCCCACTACACGTTTCCAACCTCTATTGATCAGCTTTTTCATAGACGTTTCTCTGATTTCCACTTGCAGAATCTCGCATGGATCCAAGTACGTGGAGCGCGGCAATGAGCCGCGCCTGGTCATCGACAACGTCACCTACGAGTACCAGGGCGAATACGAGTGCCGCGCCACCAGCTACATCAATGGCCAGGAGCGGGTGGCCATATCCGATCCCGTCTCCCTGCAAGTTGTGGGTAAGTGCTCCAGCATACACACAGCCCTTTTTTGCACACACATGTTGCTGTCGGACAGCCGCAAAGCCGCAATGCCACAAAATACTACGAACAGGCACAACTGTCGCCAGCCACAGAAAAAATGCGGTACCAACTATGTATATGAGAGTTGCTGAAAACTGAGTTACGACTTGCCGAGCAACTGTTGGCTAAGCTGATGGCCACCAATAACGGTATCGACTACCACAAAAGGAACACAACAGAAAGTCACAATATCTTGGCCACGTAGGAGATTCAATACTCTTTTGAAATTGCGAAAACTGACCAATTCACAACCAGACATGCATCATTTATATCTTAGACTTTTCTCATTAAATATTGAGGATAGTATTTATGATCAGTCATTCAGAGACAGTGCTGGCTCTGTAATCATTTTCAGATATATTTTTATACCCATAAAAATATATATTCGAATAAAAAAGTTCGACCTTTAAGAAATCGGCTCAGCAACTGTTCCTCCTGGTTATCTGAATACAAGTAATAGGCATTAGATAACTTTTTCTGTTTGGTTTGCCTTTCCATGGTACCTTTTACTACTACTGAAATGTCTTCAGCAGAGTTTGTAATTTCCAAGATGATAAATAATTTTGAATATTTGTTTCTTTTTTTCTAAAATAGTTGAGAGAGTTAAATTTTAGTTTATTTTTAAAAGAGATAATACACGAATTGACATCGAGTAGTTTGAAAAATAATCAAAATGTACGCAGAACATAAAGGCCTTTCTATCCAGATGGATCGCAGTGTTAATATGTTTATTAAAATAAAAGTCTTCAAATATTGCCGTTCTATGCAATTCTCAAAAGTAAAAATATTTAATTCTATTTAAATGGTGTATACGTTTATATATGTATATACAATCTGCATACACATACATATATATGTATAGATTTACATATTTATAATATGAAGTACTACAGGTAAGCTTAAATGCTTACCATGCCTTTGTAAGAAGAATAAAATTGAAGTACTCTGCCTATGCTGCAGTTTAAATAAATTTAGGTACTCACTTTTTAAGAATATAAGGACAGCAATAGATAGCAAAAAGGGGAGAAAGAAAGAATACCAATGGCCAGTTGTAAATTTACAGCCACGTTAAAAGCAACAACTCGGCGTGTGCCCCATGTGGGCAAAGTTAGTTGGCTCGCTAGTTTGTTACCTCTATCTCTATCTCTCTCTTTGTCTAGTTGTCCCTCTTTACTGTTGCACATCTTCGTCGCGTATTCTCCGTGCAACTAATGCTCACTTAAAATAACACAAAACTCCATTAAAAACTGCAACCGGAAAACGCGTCGAAACCGTTTTAAGCGCCTGCGATTTGGCCAATGCCCCCACCATCCCCCCTCGTTTCCCCCTCTCTCTCTCTATCTCTCCCTGTTTCTCCCAGTATGTCCCCTTCTTTCTGCCAGTCGGAAGCTTCTCCCGGCCTCAATTTTGGGCTGCAGGCGCCGCTGGTCCCACTGCAAGCGGCAACTGGCGCTGGCAACAGACTAAACCAAAATGTAACACAAAATCAAAATGAACTTATGACCACAAGCATAAAAAGCGAAAAAGTGTGGAGTAAAAAAGTGCAGGGTATAAAAATGCAGACAACAAACAAAAAAATGAAGAACGCAGAAGCGCGGCGAAATAGAACAACAGCCATGGCCAACACAGCCGCGAGCAAGCGTCGAGTAGCTAAAAAGGACAACAAGAAGAAAAAATACCAAATAGAGAGACAAACAGTCAGTGAGAAAGAGAGAGCTGGAGAGAGGGAGGCACTGGGTGGGGGCAACATATATATTTAAATTTAGTGCTGAATACCACAGCACGTACATAATTTATGACCAACCAAGGACACGAGCAATTTAGCAGAGCCAGCCAGGAAAAAAAGTGCTATATCCTTTATATGTCTGTGGCAAAAAAATAAATCGAAACTGTGTCCACGCTCGCTGCATACACATATACGAAAACATACTCGACTGTGTGTATGTGTGTGTGTGTGTGTGTGCTTATGTGTATGTAAAGTAACTAACGAACTAGTTAACTGACAACAGCTAAAAAAAATTAAGTGAAAAAAAAGCAAAGCTCATTATGTGCAGCTGCGCACTCACGACTTTCAAATACCCTGCAGGCAGCAAAGTTTGTCAAACTTTCAAACTGGCCAGAGACATTTAAAATTCGCTTAGTCTCGCTTGCCAACAATTTATGCTTAGCATAGGCAGACATTCGTTTTGATTTATACTTTCCAAGTCTACTTCTGCAGCTTTAAAGACTTTGGGATGAAATTTATGTTTGCTTAAGCACACCTAATGCAAAATGCTAACGTTACCTTTTATAATGCATAACATATGAGTATATGGGATACAGGCATTGAACGGACCTTAACATTTACAAAAGTATCTGTACTGGTCATTGCATATAGAAGATCTTAAAAAGTGAAACATGCGCTAAACTTTTGCTATGATGGAAATTGTATCTCAGTAAATCAAAAAAGATTCATAAAGTAAATTTACCATATGCGAATATTTGATATTTAAGAATGTATAAAAATAATTTAAAAATAAAATACTTAATTTTGTAATATATAAATATAAGAGACCTGCTGATGTAGAAGTCAGCCACAGTATAGAGATACAGAGAGAAAGATAAGATAATGGCGACAGATACGCTTCTTTAAAATAGCTTTAATTATGCATAGAGTAGATGTGAGAATGAATCGCCAATCAAGCCAAAAACATTACTGTTATCTGGGAAAATGCTTTGCTTAATTCTCTTTTTATAGGTCAATTAATTAAAAATAAATATTCATTTAATACTTGAAACAAAATTACATTTACAAGCTATTCTTTTATGGTTATGTTTAGTATATGTTGGTTTCTTTTTCTTAAATGTATGTATCGGGCAGCAGGAGACGTGGCAGACTCTATAAAGTATATAAATTCATGATCAAATAGAAAAGTGAACATTCAGTTACATATTTTGCATATAACACCATTGTTAAATACTTTTATGCTTGTTATACGTGACGCATTTGCAATATATGAGTTTTCTTTTGCATTTTTCAGGTGCTCCGCAGGTGCTTCGCCTGCATCCCTCCATGCACACAGTGTCTGTTAAGCGCGGCGAGCCGGCCAGTCTGACGATGGTCGTCTGCGCGGATCCGCGACCGCAGCTCGTGGCCTGGGAGTGGGGTTCGCTGCGCCTGGAGGCCGGCACGGGCATAGGTGCGTATACTTGACGTCAGCTCGCGCGCTTCATTGGGCAGCTACTGCAAATATAATTAGATGCTCGCATGAGGTTTTTCCTTTTCAATAAGCCGCAACTCAATTAACGCACATTCAAATGTGTGTGTGTGTGTGTGTGAGTGTATTTGTGTGTAGCCAGCTCTGCCTCTCGACTGAGTGCTCATTAACAAACCTTTTCCGCAAATTTGACACTGAACAAACGTGGAGCATGCTACGTGTGACTAAACGGCAAACGGCAGACGGGAGCAGGCAGACGGGAGCAGGCAGACAAGAGCAGGCAGACGGCAGGACAACGCACAAATCAAGACAAATTACATGTCCAGGAGTCGGCAGCTTCGATGCCAAAATCAGACGAGTGCCGCCATCATGTTGCTGTAGTGTGGCATTAGCATTGGCAGCCCTGCAGCTCGTTCGTCCATTGGCGATGCTCGAGCAGACTTCCCACGCCTGTCAGCCGCCGGTAATCCCGGCTCGCAGCTGACAGCAGGACGCCGTGCCAGCTCTGGCCTCGCATGCAGCTCGTTTTTCAGTCTAAACTGTGCTGCATAACGCATTTTGTGGAGCTGCAGCTGCAGCTGCTCCGACAACTGTGCTGATCCATCTCCAGCTTCGCCTGGCAACAAATCTAGCACATTACTCTTCATTTTCAGCTTGTCTGCGTGCGCATCCGTCTGGCTGCCTTCCCTGGCGTCCCGCCGTCTCTGCTGCAGTCCATCTGTTCCCGTCCGCCTCTTCGTGCGTGTAATCCGGCGTGCTTGCCACTGACAGGAATCAAGCAAAGCGCATTGCATGCCAAATCGCACGCAGCTTCGACTCCTAATCGTTGCGCATTCGCCCATTAATTGCGCATCATTTGAACAAGCCACAAATTCTAATGATACAGTATTCATACCATAAGATACGCAATTATCTCTCTCACTCATTAACTTCTCTCTCTCCGTTTAGATCGCTTTCGGGCCGATGACATGCTCACGGACTCGCGCGAGGACTGCTACCTGTCCACGCTGCACATCCACCACACGGACGAGCACGACTCGCGCCCCTACTACCTGGTGGTGGAGAACGAGCGGGGCACCGATCGCCATGCCATTCATTTGATTGTGGAGGGTACGTTTGCAGGTGCCTAGTGTTTTCTTTATTTTTCAATACCGTTTACACTTTAGTTCAAGAACATTTCATATTGCAATCGCAAGCACTTTTCAGTGGATCAATATAATATTCCTCCTGCTATCCAATTATCTTCCGCCTGAAAGTGTTTGCAGACTTGCTCTTACTTTTTCACTATTCCCTTTAATACGCAATTTAATCTCACACTGCATGCTAAGCACCCACTAGATATTTCTCATGCCTTCGCTATATCCTTTACTTGAATTAAACTCGAACCTTTTATACAATTAAATCTTCCCTTTCTGCTTGCAATCGACTGGCGTCTGGAATTATTCAATTATGGTAACACTTGCCGCAGAACCTTTGGAGATGAGCTACTTGCTGGGCGTCGCCGGCGGCTGCATGGCCGCCATTCTGATCCTGATCTGCCTGTGCATCTACGCCGTCAAGAGCAAAAAGTGCTGCTTCAAGGGTAAGTCGAAGGCCTGGCCAGGGGCCGGTCAGCTGCTCATTAAAAATGATAAACTCGAATCGCTCAATGCGAGAGCAGCAGCAGCAACAATTGCTGAGCAGCAGCAACAATTGCTGAGCAGCAGCAACAATTGCTGAGCAGCAGCAACAATTGCTGAGCAGCAGCAACAATTGCCAGCTCTCGGAGCGGGGCGCATATTAATTACGCGGCGCTTCAAAGGGAATGCGCGTCGCAGCAATTAAAGCATTTGGCCCATTATGCCGCCAGATGGCGTTGAACCTTACGGGCGGGTGGCATTCGCATTCGCTTGCCACATTTTGCTGTCATACTAATTGCAAAAACACAAAAACTTGCACCAAAGCCAAAACACACAGAAAACAACAACAACAACAACAATACAAAGCAACAGAACAGAAAAAAGTAGAAAAACCGCGCCTTTTATTTACTTTTCTATTCTGTTTTCTGTTGCTCCTTTCTATTCGTGCTTTCTTGTTTTTTCCTCTTCTTTGAAACTCAAATAAATCTCATAAAATATTCATTAGCGAGTTTCGCGCCGCCGACGCCTGCGGTCAGCTGGCTAACACAAAAGGGTTAAGGTCCTCCAAGGAACAACAATTATACATATACATTTACTACAGTAGATTTTATTTTATTGTGCTCTGACTGTAAATGCGTCTGCTTAAAGTCGCAAGGTCTGCTGCTAGCAGGGGGAGCAGGAGGCGTCGGTCGCCTAATTAGAAATCAAAATCGAGTCGCAAAAGTTTTCACTGAGCGCGCAATTAAAATGCACATTTGTAAAAACAATTTACAAAACAGCAAAGGGAAAACAATTTAGAAAACAGCAAAAAAAAAAGTGTTGATAAAAGGAAAAGTTTTTGTTGGGAAACTTGCTCAAGGACGTCCAAGGAAACTTTTGTGGAGTCGGGCTTTAAGGAATTCGCTCAGGGACTTGCACTGGCCAATTGGCCTGCTGCCTGGCATATAGCTGTAAAGTGTAAACTTGAGTTCTAAATAAGGCTAAGTCCCCAAATAGCACGGCGCGTGCAATTTCTCAGTTGTCAATCAAAACGTCAATTTACAAACAGGCGCAGGAGCTGCAGGAGCAGCAGCAGCAGACGTGAAAATTGCTGCAGCTGGCGCCGATTGCCAACTTATCGAATGGCATTTGACAGATCTTTCTTTCACACCCACACATGCACACACACACACACACACAGACGAAATCCATCAAAATTACCCCGCTCTCACGGCCGAGTTTAGGGCAACTTAACACCTCTCGGCCGTCAATTGGTTCACGGCTCATTTGTCAAAATGTTGAAGCAGCAGATACAAATGTATCTGTATCTGTATCTGTATCTGTATCTGTATCTGTATCTGTATCTGTATCTGCAGCCATCTATCTATCCATGGCTGTCTGTCTGACTGCTGGGTGTCACATATGTCCGTGAGCTTGGCTTTTACTCAGTTTAAAGTGCCAGCATAGCTTACAAATAGTCTATATACTATATGCCATATACATAAATATATATTTCGTGCGAAAATACAAAGCAATTCTCTCATATATATTATTTTCACTCGCCTTTGCAGGTTCCACGGGCTATAAATCATCGGATAAGGACAGGTAAGTTGAAGCGAAACACAGGCCACTCACATACACACACTCTTGCACTCCCACACACACACACACACACACACAGAAAGCGCACAACAAATGGCCGGTTATGATACATTTTTATAAAAGGCAAAAGCAATGCAGCTTGTGGCCAACAGGTGGCGCTGGCATGCCAATTTATGCGTCCCGACTGGCCACACCCACACCCATACCCACGCAGTCGCTCGCCTCCCCCGCCCATGAGTAATGTGTGCAGCGTGTGATTGTGCAGAGTATGAAATATTCTATGCTATATTATATATTCAATATTGCAAAGTCGGCTTTTGGAAAATATTTTCCTGTTTTGCGCGCACATACACACACACATACACAGGCGTGCACACACGCATGCCAACAATGCGAAACACGCCCCTTAACAATCGCTCATTGCCGCCCCTCATTTTGTCCTGACATGAGTTATGAGGCTGTGGCAGTTATTTGGCTCTCGGCTACACTCGCCCCTCTTCCTCTCTCCCCTCTCCATTTGTCCATTTAAAAATTACCATATTTCGTTTATGGAATACCCTCTCGAACACACATACACGCACACACACAGGCGAGTCAAAAATCGCAAAGAATAGTTTTTGTGTGTCGGTAGAGCGGAAATGGATTTTGAATTTCCGTTATAAGCATAGTTGGCAACGCCACAGCCACATTTCCAGCGGCATTCATTATTTATGCGCGCCAAGCGGCTACGCAAACCCAGAAACTAGGCCCCAAACAACTAACAACCAAATTCATACAATTTTTGTATCAATCAAAGCGTAACGAAAGATTTTGTCAATCGCTCCAGCCCCCGAGGGATCTCGTTGGGATTTAATAACCAACGACCAAGCCACCACGCCAGCCCGACGTCCACAATGCCAAAGGGCACACGAAATAGCTGGATATTTAGATGTGCGATTGGCATGAAATATGCCAATCAAACGGCAGCAAATTAGACCAAACAGCGACTATTGTGTGCCTGAACATGAAATGCCCTGGAAAATATATAAGCAAAACTTTAATAGTATCAAAATCCGTCTTTCTTGCTTCCCATTTATCTGTCCATTTTATTTAGAGAAGTTTCAAAAGAATCACAGTTGATAATAATAATAATCAATAAGTGAAAATAATTCAGCAGTTCTTTAGTTAAAGATAATCGAAGCTAGAAGAAAATAGTTACAGAAACTAAAGAATCACAGACGTATAGAAACCATGGCAGAGCTTAAAACATAAATAAAACCCTTGAAAATATTCAAAATTTATTTATTTATTTATGTTGAATTAAAGATTAACAGATTTATGTGAGTCTTCAATATTGTTAATAAATACATAAATATATTGATTGAGCTCAATGGAACTTAAATTGCGGCTAACTAAAACTAATCTCATAAATTTATATTACTTTTAATTAAGATTTCAAGAAGATTCAAAATTCATTAAACTATATTAAGCCAAAGAATCAAAGATTTATATGAATCAATAACAGATTTTAAAGATACAAATAAAAAAAAAAAAAATAAATAAATAAATAATAAAAATATATTTATTTATATTAAATAAATTAAATATGAAATTTATGTTGAGCAAATGAATCCATTGCAAATAAAATAAAATTTAAAATTACTAAAAATTAGTAAATATTTAATATTTATATAAAAGCAAAGAATTTAGGATTTTAATAAATCCATAGCTGTTTTTAAGGATAAAAGAAAATAATACAACTAGATTTATTTATATTTATTTTAATCGCGTTTCTATTAGCCACAGATTCATAAATAGAATAGTAAAACAGATTTATATTCACCCAATCAATTTTTAAATATTTGATTTAGATTATTAGACGAGTCCAGGGCAGATCTCGGCAGTCCACACACATCAACTCGTATATATCTACCCCACACAATACGCCCTCTCTCTCTCTCCCTTTCTCTCTCTCTCTCTGTGTTCGATAACAATTTCTTTTTCTTTCTCTTTCTCTTGCTTGATTTGTGCCCGCAGCGAGAAGGCTGATTTGAAATCACGGTCGGATAGCACCAGCGGGCCCCAAGGTGATTCGATTTACACAACGCCCGCCGGCTTCCATCATCACCAGCAACAGCAGCAGCAACAGCAGCAGCAGCAGCAGCAGGCGGCAGCTGCCGCAGCAGCGGCATTGCACGCCGCCTCGCAGCACCCACAGCAACAATATCCGGGACATGGATCGCCGGAGGCAATGAAGGTACGCATGGCTGCAATGATATTACAACCGCCCACTAGGGTCTAGCAGGCAGTTGATAACGAAAGCAACGAGCTTCTCTATCAACAACAGCAAGCCCAACAACAACAACAACAACAACAACAACATGAACATGAACATGATAATAGTAATGCCAACACCAATACAAACACCAACAACAATAATAATAGTATAACTAACACAACAACAACAACCACACCGACTGTAACTGCAACTGCAACTGCAACTGAGACACTGACCAATAGCAATAACAACAATACATTAGAGTTAGCCAAGAGCAGCAGCAGCTCACACAGCCTTAGCCTAGCCAGCACGCTAAATAGTAGCAAGAATAGTAGCAGAAATAGCAGCAGCAGAGGGAGCAGCAACAAGCAGCAGCAGCAGCAGCAGCAGCAGCAGGAGCAGCAGCAGGAGTTGTCAGAGAACAAGCCACCGGGTATTGAGGGTAAAACTCTGCTCGACTTGAATGTGGGGAGCGAGGAGCTAGAGGGTAATCAGGCAGCTGATCACAGCTCGAGTGCAGAGGACAATAGGCAAGTGGACGGGCAGCTGAGTGTCGAGGAGACGCAGCTGCTGCTGCAGAAGCTGAGCATCAACAATCCGTTCTACCGCTTTCGCAAGCAGAGCAATTCGCTGCGCGAGCTGCGCCGCCTGCATCGCCAGATGCGTCGGCATAGATCCGAGACGGATCTGCAGCACTCGGCGCGCCAACTAGATGCACACCAACACCTACACCAACACCAACACAATGAAGCCAAAGTTGTAGTTGTATTAGACCGTAAGCAGAACGTAGGGTTAAGTAGCTGTAAGCAAGGTATGAGTAGCACTAAGACTAGATCCGTAAGCAGCCTTATGCCCGACAACTCCACGGTGATCACGAATCCGTTCTCCATCTTTCACGACGACGAGATCCTCACGCTGGGCGTCAATCCGCGCCTGCGCAGCGCCAGCGCGACGCGCCCGCAGCGCAGCGGCAAGGGTCTGCGGCGGCTCTTCGACAGGCAGCCAAATGCCGTCCCGGCCACCACCGCCCACCACCAGCAGTTCCTGCACGGCGTGCCCGTGCGCCGCTTCGAGCGCCAGGACTTCGACCAGGCGGCGATGGGCGCGGCGCAGAAGCCGAAGCGCGCGAAGGCGATCTTCAAGCAGCTCTCGCTGCGCCGCCTGCACAAGCCGGAGGAGCCGCCCTCGCTGCCCAAGCTGAAGCTCAGCTACCGCTACCCGAATCGCACGCAGAGCATCCAGAGCATGCGCGCCGCGGGCAGCGGGGGCTACGACATCCAGCACGCGCCCTACCGGCCGCGCCTGCACGTCTCCACCACGCCCAAGTCCAACTACTTCGAGCGGCTGCAGGCGAAGACGAGGCAGGGCATTCAGAAGATACGGGACAAGTGCCGCAACTTCAAGGCGAGCAGCAGCGACGCGAGCAGCAGCAACGGCGGCGACTTCAGCGGCTTCCACACGCTGGCCAAGGACGAGAGCTTCCGCTTCATCAGCGACCGGGCGCACATCTCCAGCTACGAGTCCCGCTGCGCCGCGGCCCACGCCGCCGGCAAACAGGCGACGATCTACAAGAGCTACAAGTCGGAGATCGACCTGAGCAAGAATCTGCACTACCTGGAGCACTACCTGGAGCAGAACTTCGAGCAGCAGCTGGGCAGCAGCCGGAAGTCGGCGCACTCCGTGGGCCGCATCAGCGGCACCCAGCGCCGCGCCCTGGCCAGCGCCCAGCGCATTCGCGAGACAGAAACGGAAACGGAAACGGAGGGGGGCAGACCGCCAGCAGCTGCGGGCACGCCGCGGCGACGCCACAAGCGCAGCCAGTCGCAGGCCAACAGCCAGATGGCGGCCAATTACGAGAATCTGGGAACCCTGCCAATTTCGGCGCGTGGGGCGGGGCGCGGCAAGGCGCAGCAGGTCTTCCACTCGGACTCGCTGAGCAGCTCGGACTATGCGTCCGTGTTCAGTGGGCCCACAGTGACGAAACGGGCCGACACGAGTTTGCAGCAGGAGGAGGAGGAGCAGCAGAAGCACCAGCAGGATGCAGAGTCTGCGCTCAAGCTGCGCTACGAGCATCCGGATAAAATGTGCGAGTACTACTTCGATAATCTGACCAGCTACGCGCTGGCCTTGGAGGAGAGCGAGGACCTGCTGCTGGCAGAGAGCGCCAAGTCGGCGCGGTTCTTCTACTACGACGGCGAGGAGGAGCCGCATGCCGTTAATGAAGTCGCAGGCATTGAGGACGAGGCTGACAATGACGATCTAGTAGCGCCTGACGCACCAGACTACATCACGCGCGACATTCGCATTCGCGTCAACGTCAACGAGTGCGACGAGCATGCTGATTGGTACCGGCGCGAGCAGGAGCAGCCACAGCAGCAGCAGTTGTTGACGACATCGTATAATGAGAACTTGGCCGAGAGCACATTCTATCAATCACTCAATCAGCACTTGCAGCGACAGGACGACAGGCTGAAGCCTGAGCCGGAGCCGGAGACGGTGTCGGTATCGGTGCCAGGGTCGGGGTCGCTGGCTGAGTCGATGGCTTCCTCCTTGGGAGGCGGCGAAAGCTACTTGGCGCACTTCCAGCGCAGTCGCAGCGACTTTGAGCGGATCGAACGAGGCAGCCAGCTGCGTCCGAGCGCGGACATCGACCGTATGTACGACCACGGCGAATACTACGGCTTTGGTGGCGACCCGGAGCTGCTGCACTCCACGAAGCAGCGACGCGCCGACCTCATGGAAGCCCATTACGCGCGGAGCTATCCCACAGCAGCAGCAGCAGCAGCAGCAACAACAACGAGTCAGTTTGTGGAGCGCACACTGCGTGGTGCTGCAACAGCAGGAGACGCACCACCGACTGCAACCACAATGCCGGCAGCTAACGCTGGCGCACTGGCTTTGGCTAGGCCAACCAGCGATGCGCTCTACGCCACCAGCAGCAAACAGCAGCAGTTGCAGCTGCGACCAGCAGCCAGTGTTATGGGAGCGACAACATCAACAGCAGCAGCAGCAGCAGCAACAACAACTGCAGCAGCAGCAGTGGCAGCTGCGACGCCTGTGGCTGCCCCATCAGCTGGAAACGCAAACAGCAATACGAGCGCAAATAATCGCTACATGTTGGAGAATTTGCGCAAATACTACGCAAATCAGCAGCAATATCCGCCCGCACACTCGCTCAACTCCTCCTCGCTATCCAATTCATCATCCTCGAACTCGTCCGTGTCGCAGCAGCAGAAGCTGCAACTGCCCAACCACATCTCTAAACACCACCACCAGCAGCAGCAACAGCAGCAGCTGCGTCGCAACTCGAGCACCTCGAATGCCTCCTCGACGGCGGACAATTTTGACACATTCATTGCGCTGCGCCAGGCCGACTACATGGCCCCCAAAGGGCCCCAGCAGCAGCAGCAGCCGCAGCGTCGTAGTCAGCATCAGAGTGGGTCGGGCAAGGCACCGCTAATCTCGGCGCTCAACTATTACGGGCATGGCCTGTCCGACGGCGGCAGCAGCAGCGGCAGTGTCCTCACATACAATGGCAAATTATCGGCGACCGCAATGTTGTCACAAGTAAATTTGGGCAGATCAACAGCGCTGCATCAGCAACATGCCGCGACACCCGCAACAGCAGCAGCAGCAGCAGCAAAGCCTGCAGCAGTAGCAGCAGCATCAGAGAGCTTCATAGTGGAATATGAGTGTTAGCGCACGATTAAATTACTATCGATCCGTTGGGGCCAGGTGCTAAGCCTGCTCGCTGTGGGTGGTGGGTGATGGCTCTAACCACTCGACAACGAATTGCGTATTATTTCGCCAGCTATTCGATAGTCGGTTATATCTGCCTCCCACTCTCCTCCTCTCACGCGCTCTCTCTCTCTCTCTATCTAACCAGATTGAGTTTTAGCCAAAATTACAATTACAAATTGTTAACGCAACTGATTGGATTAACTTCGTCGCCCGGCCACAGCCCCCGCGCCAGCAACAGACTCGCTATATATATAAAAGACTCCGTTGAACTCAAACGGGTCACAGCTAAAATAATCCTAAACCTTAAAGACCAGCCCGCAGCTGTAAGTGTAAGCTATGCCCAAGCAGAATCTCCCGTTGATTGAGTGGTATATATATAACGTCTGTGTATATATGCTCGTAGAGTTAGGAATAGATTATCGTAAACTACTGACAATAATTCACTTCAATTAAGTTTCTTAGCCAAGTTAATAGCGCATATGCAAATTGTACTCGAAATTGAAGACAGGTGCATCGGAATCAAATCTAGAAAAGGGAAGACCTAAGCATAATCCTTCTACTATATCCACTATATAAATCAAATTTACTCTACATTAACTGATATGGAATCTTGATCAAAGCTAATCGTTGCAACTTTTGATATATAGACTATATAAGATTATCGATTGTTCACATCGCTGTTAAGTTTCTCTGTTTAGCCTAGAACTTAATCCCAATCTAAAAGATATCCATTTGCACTCAGAGATTTGCAAGGATTGTTATATCGATTAAAGTTGAGCTTATACTAAAGTTAAAACTAAACTAGATGCTCAGCCATAGATTGCTGTCGACCAAACTAATGACTAGCTAGTTATTTGATTCCTTACAGAACAGAATCATTGCCGATCTCTGAGGGCAAAGTACTCCAAGTACTACGCGAAAAACATTCAAAGTTTGCCGCAAAAATAATTAAATAGAGGCACGACTTTTCGAATGCAAGGCAATTATGTTTAATTGAAAACCCGAACAACAACAAGCAAGTATAAAAAAACAAACTAAAAAACACGTAAATAAATATATAATAATAATAATAATGAAAAACGCGAAAACAACAATTTGAGCTTCCACGTTGAAATAAATGAAATTAAAACCACGTACTGCATTAAACGGCAGCAGCTAAATTTTCATGGCAACAACTACAACAACAACAACAACAATAAATATAATGAGTGGCAGACGTAATGACAAAGCGCATAAAA